CACAGTCTTTAAACTCCTAAAGGCACACTGTGAGGGCAGTAGTGCCTATCAATCAATCTCTTCTTCTAAATCTACTTCTTTATTAAATAATTATAATAATAATCGATTATCTATCTTAAAGAACAATAATTCTAATTTTATTAACAATCAAAATCAGTTTAAATCAGCACTCTCACTGATTTTTACTAATGAACAACCAAAACTCAAGGAAGCTATGGATATAGTTTGCTGTGATGCCAGTATTGATAAAACTCTGTTTTATTTAATTCTGAATACAGAATCACTTACAAGTGTAATGTCAAAAGCTTTGCTAACAAATTAAATCAGTTTATTAAAAAACCATCTAATCTTTATTTTTCTGATATTAATAGTGGAAAAAAATGATTACTGGGAATTATTAATAATATACCCCTTTAATTATCTGATATTACTATCCCTATTGATGTGGAAGTAAATAATGCCCAAGGTTATACTATAATTGCTGGAGTTAGTTAGCTTAACAAAGTAAAGGGTATCATCGATTTAAAAAAGAGACAATTTAAATTTATTTGGGAAAACAAATCTTATATTTTACCTATTACATGTTGAGAAAAGTCACAATATAATAATAGTGAGCCTATTCCTTTAAAAATTTCCTCTGAGTCTAATAATTCAAATAATCAAACTTTAGTTGTTGAAACTTATGAATATAGTGAAGATGAATATGAATTATCTGATGATGAACTGGAGGAATCCAAAGGATTTTTAGTTATAGGAAATTCTGATGAAAAACCTTTACTTAAAATCAATAATACCCAAGTTAAATATCAAAATGAATCTTTTGATAACTATAACTTTCATTCTAAGCAAGCTAGTGATTCTCAAACTATTAAATATTATTTTGCTCAGCCACAAAAAACATGTCCAAAATATATACAAGTAAAGAAAGCAATAAGTTGTTTTACTACCAAGGAGGACTTTGAGGAAACAAATTTGTCTTCTGAAAATAATTTACAATTACAACAATTTTTAACTGAAAGTGACTATATATTCTCTAAGAGAATGAATGATTTAGACAAAACAACTATGGACCAACACCAAATTATTACTAAAAATGTTCCACCTATTTATCAAAAAGCCTACCATATATCACCAGCTAAACATGAATTTATTCAACAGGAACTTTCTTTAATGCTTGAAAATGGGCTTATATCTTCATCAAAAAGCCTATGGGCCTCTCCTGTTGTTTTAGTGAAAAGAAAAATGGTAAATTAAAGCTCTGTATTGACTACAGGAAGTTTAACAAAATTACCAAATGAGATGTTTATCCTTTATCACGAATTGATAAAATTCTGAATACTCTTAAAGGTACTAAATGGTTCACTACTCTCAATTTAGCTAATGGATATTGACAAATTGAAATGAAGCCTGAAGATCGTGAAAAAACTGCATTTATTACTAAATATGGGTTGTTTGAATTTAATATTATACCTTTTGGTTTAACAAATACACCTGCTACTTTTTAACAAGTAATGGATAAAATCTTTTCTGATCTTAAAAACAAATTTATTTTAGTATATCTTGATGATATTACTATCTATTCAAAAACTTTTGAGGAGCATTTGGAGCATCTCAAGGAGGTTTTTAAACGTTTTCAAAGTGCTGAACTAAAATTAAGAAAGGATAAATATTGTTTTGGAAAACAACAATTAGTCTTTTTAAGACATATTATTAGTAGAAATGGTGTTGCTCCTGATCTATCGAAAATTGATAAAGTTCAAAACTATCCTGTACCCCATAATCTTACTGAACTTCGTGGATTTATTGGTCTGGCTTCTTATTATCAAAGATTTATTTTAAACTTTTCACAAATTATTGAACCTTTAAACAAGTTGTTAAAAAAGGATACTCCTTTTGTTTGAACTGAAACTTGCCAACAAGCAATAGATATTCTTAAGAAAAAATTGACAACTGCATCTATTCTTCAATACCCTGATTTTACAAAACCTTTTATTTTTTATACTGATGCTTCATATCAAGGTTTAGGTGCTATTCTTGCTCAAAAGGATAATAACAACTATGAACATATAATTGCTTATGCAAGCAGGTCTCTAAATTCTGCTGAAATCAATTATTCTCTAACTGAAATTAAATATCTTGCTGCAGTATGGAGAATAGAATATTTCTGACCTTACATTTACCTCAAATCTTTTGAACTTATTATGAATCACTCTGCTTTATGTTGGCTATTAAACCAATCTAACCCTAACAAACGAGTAACTCGATAGATTCAATGAATTGCTGATTACCCCTACACGGTTATACATCGTAAAGGACGAGTTTATTCTAATATAGATACTCTTTCTTGTCTCCCTAGGAAGCCACCCTAAGGAAAATATTAAAAAAGCTTTAACCAAAATAGAACTTACACTCTATCTTAACTATTTAATAACTTCAGAATTACCTCCAAACTTGAATTTAAAGGAACAACAACAATTTAAAAAACAAGCAACACACTATA